TGCCACCATCAGTGTGCATTAACAGGTGAATGACTGAATGTAGTGTAAAGTGCTTTATTTTAGTCTCCTGACTTGAAAAAGCGCTATACAACTACAGCCCATTTACCATTTACCATAGAAAATAGCCCTTTCCACAACTGACTTATTGAATATATGAAGCATGTTGGTGTAAACACTAACAGACCAAAACTTCCCAAAGGAATATAGTTTCTTCTGTTTTCCAGATAAACAGCAGTATAAATATAATCACCCCCACCCATATGTCTTCTCCCATAATGAAAATCTTCTTTGCTTTTTTATTATTCAGTATTCAACGATTTTTTTTTTTTTTGCCACCACTTTCCACAGAGTGGTCCACCATATCTGTATATGTAATCTGTTTTCTGATTTTCTGATAAATGCAGAATCATCCCATGTCTGCAGATGCTTGCATTAGAGGTCTAAGGGATACAGAGTAAAGGGAAATTATGAAAGTACACTTTCCTGTGTTGCTCACTGTGGTGGATGATCCTCCCACCACCACATCGTGTTAGTATTTTTTTTCTTGCTTTATATTATATTACAGTTTATGTTTAAGTTGGTTATTTCTTTTAGACAGGTATTTTCTAATTGATGCACACTTTAGTTAATGTCTGTCTGAATGGTTTATTTACACTTGTTCTTTTGTTTGAGGTGCTGCTGATGCAGCTGCTGGAAGAGGAAACCTGGAGCGTGCCATTTTTAAAAGACCGACGGGGGAGACTTGTTTCAAGTTGTTTTCAATTAGATTGTCACTTAAATACTCACTTATTGTTTCTGTTAAGTAAAAGTTAGTTTTGCTTTATTTGTTTCATAGAATGGTTAATTTTGTATGTATTTGTTCTTTTGTTATGTTCTGCCTCCCTTATGTGGTAGACTTGGGTCACCCCATCCCTTTTTAAGCATCCTTTAGTTCTTTGTTTGCAGGTCAGTTTTTTGTTTGAGTTGGATCCTCAGTTGACCTCAGTTAAGTTGGGCCCAGATTCATGTTATTTTGTTTTTAAGTTATTTTGTATTGCTTTTGAGCCTTTATTAACCATTTTTACACAATTAAATGAAAGCACTTTTTCAAATTTTGAACACCTTTTGTCCTTATTTAATTTTGGTCCCTCACACTCACCATCTGGTCAGACACTCACCCCTTCAGGCTGCAAAACGATGGTCTGTTTTTTTAGGTTCCAATTAAATCAATCATAAAGGTTCAGGTGCCTGATACATCCAATGTAATCTAAACTTAGTTTTGCTGCTATGTAGTGTAAATTCTCTTTAGAGGTTTTAAATTTGGCTTAAGTTCTGAAATAAATTGACAGATGATGCTTTTTCAGATCTTTTTCTACTGTTTTACATCGTTTATAAGAAATACTATCTATGTCAATCAGATAAGGAGCCGGATGATGGTGCAGTTTATCACTGTTGATTCATTCCAGCCTTTTCTTAGGTTGAATTTCTTTTTGTGCAAAGCTCTATACAGGGTCTATATAAGGAGGGTCAAATGAGGACTTTTTTTGTGTGGGCACGTGTTTGTCAGCCTTCCCAAGCATTTGACCAATCAAAATGACTTAATCTGTGTCCAGGAAAACTTAACACCCAGATAGCATAAAGCATCACTACAAAAATGTGTGTTTTTATTTTTTTAGGTTTAACATTTCATTAGAGCTCACACATATGTTGTGTATGTCAGTGGTATACAGTAAGTGGGGCAGCTGAATAAAGTATTCATTACAATAATTATACTAATTGACATAACCAAAACCATTTATGCCAGCCGAGCAATGCTGTGGATCCAATCACATATGCTACAGCTTTCAGAAGCTTGAGGGGGGAAATTCTGCATTGTTTGTTAATCACTGCATTCGTAACATCCAATATGCATGCAAAGTCGCGTACCAACAGTGTAGAATATGGGTAAACTCGTTTTTTCCCCTTTGGTATCTGTATTAGCTAATGATTGAACATTAAAGTGGTATGTAAATCTAAATAATTGCTAAAAAAAAATGCTATAAAAAAAGAATGGGTGTAACCAGTGGTGGAAAAATATAGAGACTTTGTAAGTAAAATGTTTAAATGTGTTTTTGTAATGTTATTTCGAAGTCTTGAGTCTAAAAGATTGCTTTCTGTTCTGGATTTAGATAAGGACCGAGTGGACTGTGACTAAGTCTGGGTGGTTGGATGCCAGTTGCAATATTTGTGGCGAGAATGCTGGGACTACATTAATAACCACGGTCACAAAACAGGAACTGTTTCTACTGTTGCCTGGGAAGATTTCATCCACAGACAGCTTAAGCTAGATGACTGCTGGGAGGTTTTAGGTATTTATGTTACTTAAGCTTATATGGAGGATAACTCCACCACAATAACTACATTTAAGTAACCCTTTTAGTTCCTTCTTCAAGTTGTTTTCTTAATTGAAGCTCTGCATTTAAAACTTTCTTATGTAATCTCTAATTTGAGAAGCTGCAATAAGTTCATGATGTTAAATTCATAACCGTAAGGCAACATAAAAAACCAAAAGACTTGCCCTTGAATTCACAATTTCAATTTCCCCCCTCATAATTCGAATATCCTATATATTTGTTTTTGTTTTTTTCACCATATTTCTCTCAAAAAAAGAAAATCAGTCTTCTATGTGAGCTGTACAGACAATAAAGAAACAAAATCATTTTAAAGTGACATTCTCTATAACATGATTCACAACCATAGGATTTACAAGACAGTAAAAAGGGAAACATAATCATGAAGAACGTGAGTTAAGGACTCCACCGTTACCTCTTGGTTGCTACCAGCAGTGTCCAGATGACAGTGAAAATATGATCCGTGCAGAGATGAAAACTCTGCACTGCAGTGCAATAAGGCACCCACAGTGCAGAAAAATGTTAGGAAATCTCTTACGTCTATATTATATTATTTTACATATGATAATTATTCCCTCAATGTTATATCCAGCTGTTTTATGACAAAACTGTTTGCTATCAGGTTTAAATCTAAATATTTTATCTCATAACTTTAAAAGTGCTGAAAGCCTGCCTTTGACTGCTAAAGGTAAACTGTTAACTACGGTATCATTAGTTTAAGTTTGTCCTCTACCTGTTTTATTTGTTTTGCCACCTGGTATTATTTTATTTTTATTTTTTTTTTATCTTTATTGCTTTATTTTTCTTCTGTTTTACTGTTCAGTTCATTTAAAGCACTTGTCAAAGAAGTGTCTTTGTACTGATTTGTGCTATATAAATAAACTTGCCTTGCCTTGCCTTGCCTAGGCTTCCCTTCCCACGCAGCTATTCTCAGAGTGTACATCAGGTGGTATGAGACTAAAAAAATACAGCACTTGCAGTCAGCTGAACAGAGAAAAAAATACGAAGCATCTACAGCAACATATTTTACTTATCTCACTGAAATTTGAGGTGCAACAACTGACATTGTTGGTGAAACCCAAAACACACACGCGGATACTGGCAAAGTAATTCCATGGAGGCTTGCCCTAACCTCTACATACTGTACTGCAACCCCTTCCTCAGTCTTACCGTACTTCCAATTCTAAACTTGTCCAACTTTAACACATCAACACACAATCAGAGAGTGGAAAGAGGTGAAAACTGGCAGAGGCCCAGCGCTAATTTGCATTGCTGCCAATATGTGACCCAACTATCAGTTGGTTAGTTTAACTGGACACTATACAGCCGCCCTTTTGATAAAAAGAAGAAGGCCACAGGGCAGAGGAAGCCACTGTAGCATAACTGAAAGGCTTGCAGCAGTCTCCAAAACAGCAGGAGGCACCTGCTTTGCTGAGTAATTTATTAGGTTCCAGTGCCTACGATTGGATTTCTGCAGGATGCCAACAGTGTAACCTGCTCTCACGGTGCAAAGAGCTTGTGCCTGCCAATACAGATCTCCAAGTAAGCTCCACACATCCACAAATGTGAGACTCACCAGGGTAAGATCCTCCACTACAGATGGATCTGAGATCATCAGCATGAGGTTGCTACAGTATATTCAATTCTTACTTTCTTTGTTGTTTTTTTTCCCTCACCAGCAGAGTGGTTTCAACATGTGTGAGACATGACGGCATGTTGAGCTAAATAAAGAACTGCTCACTGAGGTGGTTGTGGTCCTTGGGCTAGTCCAGCTGACACACCTTCTTTTGCCGCTTTGATTTTTTTCTGGCCTACAGGATATTTCTAGTTTCAAGCTATTCTCAAAGAGAAAAAACATCTGTCTTGCTAATTCAAAGCAGAGCCTGACCGTGCTCACACACCCCTGATTGTTAACTAAAAAGCAGATTATTCATCATGAATTTTAGTTGTTTTTCATCTCTGTTTAATCAACAGAAAAACATATTTTCACCTTTGATGACTCCAGCCAGCCAACAGTCCGTTTTCAGACCACTCTGAAGTAGGGCGTTGGTTCTGTCTCAAGTAGCTCCACATGCCAGTGTTTATGAGCCTTATATTTTCATGTACAACCACAAGTCTTTATATAGCTTTTATTGGGTGATCATGTATGCCTGTGGACTGGGAGGGGTTCCTACCTGGCTTAATTTTTCCATGAAATCCACTCAGTTTGAAGAAAAGCGGCATAGAAACATCTGAGTACAGGAGAGCTTTTGTTGAATACCTTGTAAACAGTGCAGCCGAAGTTTTAGGAGTGATCCTGAGATGTATGTCATGGAAACTACCTAAGCGTTGGCATGTCATCCTGAAAGAACCACCTCTTTTCATTTTCACTAACAAGGGTCAACTCATGCCACATTTTGACTTTTCTCTTTGCAGAGATGAGGTTAGCAAGTTCATTTCACAACCTTTCATTTGAATTCCACACATCTTTCCCAAACTTCCCATTGGGATGTGGAGATTACAACACACAAGCATTGGATTCAAACATTATTGTGATCAACTCAATTACAAATTAAAGGTTTTCACTTCAATCTCATGTAATCTTCATGCATGACATGAACTTATAAAATGCCATCGTTTTCCACTATTCACCTGGTAGATGAGGACTTTGAAGTTGCGTCTCTTAAGCAGCTCATGCTCGTTGCTCTCCAGCTTCTTGATCTGGCCCGCCTGCTTCTCCAGGTTGCTGCGCACCGTCTTGACGTTGACGCTAACCTTGCGCACTTTGTCCAGCATTTTATTGACAGTGTTGGCAGTGTCGACGTGGTTCTTGGACAACTTTGCCAGCTCCCCTTGGATGGTTGACACTGACTTCTCCATTGCCTCTTGCCGAGCCTCCAGTCCGTTCTGGGTCTGCTGGATCTTGTCTACCACACCGATGATCTTGTCTAACAGAGAGAGAACCATGACCCCGTTCATCTGAGCTTCACTTTTGCCTCCGGAGCCTCCATCCAGCACCAGATCCACCTCTTCAGCTGGATCATCGTCTACTGCTGGCTCTGTTGCAGCAGCAACAAGAGCAACTTCTTCATCATCGTAGGGTACATCTGCATGGGTGGCGAGCTCCTTTTTGACAACTGTATCTGCCATTCCTGACAACTAAATATACTTACTCTTTACCAAAAAGTGTATTGATTGGGGAACCTCTAGTCTTTTTTTCTTCTTCTTAGATAATCAGTTTTTCTGCCTCTTTAGATGTGAAACCTTTCCTCGGCTTCAATCTCTCTCAGTCAGCCCTCTCTGCCTCTCTCTGCCTCTGCTTTGGGATGCCAGCCAGCCAAGGGGAGTGGGGCCTCTCACAGCTGAAGCATGTGTGCCCTGACTGAAATGCCTCTGCTCAATGCAAAACCACCCACTCCAACCTTTTCCCTGCTTGCACCCAGCCTCCACCCAGTGCCAACCCTGCTGCTCCAGCTCCACCCCATTCTGTCCCCAAGCAGAATGTCTGCAGACCCCTCCTCTCAGTGTCATAACACTCCAAAATAACACGGCAAGGTGAGGGTATCTAATGGAAACACCGCAGAAAACATTTAGAAAGAGCATGAAAACATACTTGGCTGTACTCCTAAAGCATTGCACTTAGCAAGAAACCTTTCCTTTTGTAGTTGTGTTTGTATTAGATTACATTTTTTTTTATGATTTTGGATAAAACTATTTAATATAATAAAAAAATTATAAATATAAATAAAATTATAATAATGATAACTGAATCCAACATCACACGAAAATACAGTATAGATTAAAAAAAAATAAAAGTCCAAAAAAAATAAACAATTTATGAGCTCCATAGTTATTCACTAGAGGGCAGTGATTAGCTTCACTTTAAGTTTTAAACAATAAATAGTCATCATTTTTATTTATTTTTCTTTTTACAAACAGGATCGTATTCGATCGGGTATTACAATTTTAAGGCTTTAAAAGTCTCTGGTCTTTTATGCCACCTAGTAATCTCTCTGTAATTTCTAAAACAAAAAACCCTTTAAGGGTTTAACTACCCTAAAACCCTGGAATGATAGAGATCATAATATTAAGGGATTTTCTTTCCTGTCTTATAACTGACATTGAATGCCATTATACAGCTTTTTAAGTGTTTTTATTGTATGATATTAAATGCTGGTAACGAACCTGGTAAAGTTCAACATGCAAACTCTTTTAGACTTAGATTTTATTTTGTAATTTTGTACACACAAGTGTTAACAAAAAGAAATTTTGTTAAGTATAGATCTGTAGAACATTTCCTTTTTTAAAGTGCAGCCTTGATAAGGTAAGCAGCAGTAATAAAAAAAAACATTGTGATGAAAAAAGTAATGTATAGTTACAGTTCTCACATTCAGATGTTTTTTTAAATTTGTTATTATTTTTATTTTTTTGCTGTTTGAAGTTTTACTGAGATACTTAAGATGTAGGCAAATAAGTATTTCAATGTTTGCAACTGACAGTATCCAAAACCTCAATATTCCAATAGATGTGCAAAAAAAAATATATATATATATATATTTTTTTTTTTACATAATTTGTGTAGTTACCTATTGCTACCACTAGAGGTCAGTATAGGCTCTAATTTTAAATCCTTCATCGTTTTTTTTTTCTAATAATTTATTTTGACAGAACCCCATTGTATAATTGTAAAAATACGTTAATAGTGTTAGAAATGCGTTAAAGTATTATATTTTCCATAAAGAGTCAAAAACTCTCCTGTGTAATTGTCGGTTTGGGTGCGTTTCACTCTTCTCTCCAGCAGATGTCGCCGTAAGTTCCGGAGAAGCGTTTCAAAATAAAAGCTTTCCATTAGCAAATCCACACCAAGATACGTTTTGATAGCTTCGGAGCCAATAGGAGTGAACTATTAGAGGTCACCTGACTCGAGAATTCATCAATCGATACACGATCCTTCCGCCTCGAAAGGTCCTCGGTGAGCTTCGTTCACTTCCTCGGATCGCCTCTCCACAAATTTCCGAGAGGTAAGAGGTAGTTACCAAGAGCAGGAAGGACACAATCCTTATCGAGGACTTTAACGGTAATTAAAAAGCGTCCAGTTAGTCTGGAAACGGCTTAAACCTGCGTTAATATAGTCTTGACTTTCTACAGTGTTCAAACTTGTAGACGTATTGCTCAACAGGTTCGCTAAATTGTTAGCTTCTCTGAAAGCTAGCTAGTTTTTTTTACAGCTCTTTAAACCAAAACAAGAGAAAACTGAGATGAGACAAAAAAGTCAATGGTTTGTTTAAGGTTTATTAAAGATGTATTATTGCTGATAAGTAATGTCGACCTGTCAGTTTAGAAAGACTCCACCTACCAGGTTTATACCGTTTGTGTTTGGGTTAAAAAGCTTACAGGACCAATTCTAATGTTTGTATTCCTCTGGGCTGATAATTCTGCGTGGGATTGACAGCTTAACCTGGATAATTGGAGCAACCTTCTGATCTGTTTCAGTTGGTATTTATTGATTGGACTAAACAGGAATGGTTTTCCAGGTGTACAGAAACAAAACAGGAGTTAATGAGTGAATGGAGCTGCTGCTGGATCTTGAAAGAGTCACCTGACTCATTGTAATCCCCAGATTAGCTCTGTGTGGTCGTTTTATGCTTCTTAGCTTTGAGGTATTTGAACAATCCTGAGATTTAAAGTTGTTTTTTTGTGTGAAGGTAAATGTAAAATCAGTAAGTTTGAACTTTCACCTCTTTATAGGGTAAGTTACCTTTTTTGATCACAGGACAAACCAGTCAGTGAGATCTAGAAGCACAATATCTATATCCAGCCATTCTGCAGATCCTGCTACATGGCTGCACATCTTATTTTGGAATTTGACCAATTAGATGAGCCCTTGAATAATATATTACCTACTGTAAATTAAGTTGGGGAAAAAAGCTAATTGAAAAGTTAAAAAGTAAACTTAAAAAGTTACTAAGCCTAGTTAACAATTATATTTAGGTTTATAAACAAAAAAAATAATAAGTGCCAGTATCAGCACTAATGCCCCTAAGGTTATGTTGTACCAAAAAATGTTTTTTCTTTCACTCTTTTATAGAATCACTTTTGTTGTTTTTCTTAATATATCTGAGCAAGTTGGTGTTTCTTGTTATTATATTGAAATCTATTTTTGCCATCAATATATCCATATTTTTTTAATGTTACAAAGGTAATAAGATATTGTCCTGGATTCCAATGACACTATTGGCTTGAAATGTTTTTTTTAAAGTATTTCACTGAAGTGTGAAGTCTCTTTTTTTTCTCTATTTTTCACATGTCCAGTTTTAGCGAAGCTGTAAAAGTGACACCTAAGTGTTTAGGATCCTCCGTCATTAGAGATCCAGTGCAGAAAAATTGCAAAGTGCCGATTGGTCTATTAATAATGAATGCTTTCTTTCCATAGATCTTGATTGATTTCAGAGTGCTGGGCGCTCTCATCCATCAACAGGATGGGGGAACTCTTTAGAAGCGAAGAGATGACGCTAGCTCAGCTCTTCCTCCAATCAGAAGCTGCCTACTGCTGTGTCAGTGAGCTTGGAGAGATCGGGATGGTGCAGTTTCGCGATGTATGTCCACTTTTATTTTTTGTCTTAAGATTTTTTTTTGTAAAAGTGCAATTACTCAGTGTTACAGATCATTTTTTGTTTGGCTACATCCGTACTGCTGTGGATGCCCTTTGCATCATGTGCTCACAGCTGACTCCTCATTCCAGCCATGAGAAAAAACTCATTCTTGATCAGAGTAAAGGAAGGCTGTTGTTATGAGATATACGATGGGTTTAGGGGAGAAAAAAAAAGCTTTGTAACAGCATGAGCCCTTATCAGGCTTTAACACACTCCAGCAGTTTAAGGAAATTATCTATAGGGCATTAATGTTCTGTCACTGACCCCTCTTCTTCTTGTTTTAGTTAAACCCTGATGTTAACGTCTTCCAGCGAAAGTTTGTTAATGAAGTGCGGCGATGTGAGGAGATGGATCGCAAATTAAGTGAGCTTTGGTTTATTATACAAGAAACTTTTTTATGATAGTGAAGAAAATCGATGGAGTTTAATACATTAAAACACTTTTTATTTGACATGCTTTAAGTCTTTTTTGCAAATCCTACTTTTCAACAGGATTTGTGGAAAAGGAAATTAAGAAGGCCAGCATCCCAATAATGGACACAGGAGAGAACCCTGAAGTCCCTTTTCCAAGGGACATGATTGATCTAGAGGTGATTGTTTTATTGTAAATTTAAAGAGCTTTAATTTAATTTAATTATATGTATTTATTTGACAGGGACAAGGTACATTAAAAAACATTCCTGCAAATGCACTAGAATTAGCCGAAAGGCAATTTTTCATCTGTTGTCCCTGGACAGATGTTAAAATTGTTTACCTAAAAAAAAAACAACAGTAAGCATGCTACAGTGTAAAATACAAATATAAAAAGAAATAAAAACAGCTGTAACTCCTCAAAACTGATTTAAAAATACAGAATAAGTGTTCGCTGGACTACAGAGGTTTATAAAATAGAATAAAACATTTAAACTATGTATATATATATATATATATATATATATATGTATATATATATATATACACACACACAAGTGGCAGCATGGCTTGTTAATGATAGACATTCAACTAATGCTGACATGTGTTATGAGCCAATTTTTTAGATGCTTTTTGAAATTAGTGTATGTTGTAAGTTCCTTTTACACAATTAAGTCTATTTTCATTTTTATATTTTAATTCATCATTTGAAAAATTTCAATGCATTTGGTACTTATCTTAGATAAATGAGGCATGAAGTAAAGTCATAAAACCATAAAAACGACTAGATGTTCTTTTGCTGCCTCCTATTAGTGGAAAACTGTTCTGGCCATTTATTAAATAGATGATTATAAGTTTTTTTTCCAGAAGATATAAAACACTGAAACCATGCAGTTAATAGCTGTTCTTTCAACTAACAAATTAATAATCCTTTTTTTCAATTTTCCTGCTTTGGTTAAAAATAAAAACATAATTATGAATGATGTATTTTGTGTTTTTATTGTAAAATTATAGCAAAGTAGCTGTAGATTTCTTAGTTATACTAATGGAGTAATGGATCCTGATCTGCTTTTGTGATGGTTTTTAATTTTCACTTTCTCGCTCACAGGCTACATTTGAGAAGCTCGAAAATGAGCTGAAGGAAATAAACACCAACCAGGAGGCCCTAAAGAAGAACTTCCTGGAATTGACTGAGCTCAAGCACATTTTGCACCGCACTCAGCAGTTTTTCAACGAGGTCAGTTGCATTGTTTTGAACGGAGGAATTGTCTTCTGCTCCTTGGGTTTTAACGTTGTACTGGACGTAAAAAGAGGCGTCTTCTTAATTATTTGGAAGTCGTTTCTCTC